AAAAAATTGTACTAGCTATAAAAATAAACTTTTTACAGCCATTTAAACATTCAATTTGTTAACAACAATTAAACTGACCACTTTCAGGCTTTCCCACCAAGTTTTTTGGTTTCGAGAAGTCAAAATACTTAAAAATAAGTTATTTGCAGCCGTGGAATTCTGTTTGGCTACGGAAACCTATCTGGCCCCTAGCCCCTAGACTAATACGAGTGTAGTAGCAAAAAGTTGTCGGTCTTTTATCAAAGGAAAATCGTATCAACAAATTTAATTTAAAATCTAAAATACCGGCTGTTTTCGTAGTAGCTGTAGTCGCCCAGGTGCATCGAGTGTACGAAGTGGTCGGTTATATGTCAAATACTAACCTGGCGAGCTTGAACCTGAACTTGGCAACGCTGTTCCTTTAGCCGACAACTGTTCGTGACATTACGTTACAAAATTTTCCGAGCATCCGGGCATCGGCAGGGCAGCCCTCGTAGCGGGAGTTATGGGTTGATTTCCTTCATTTTTAAAAGTCGAGTAAAAAATTTTTTTTTTCCGATTTTCTGTCTTTATTAAGCCTTCCGAATATGTGGTTAAAATTAATGACATTATGACTGAATCACCCTGTATTTTGAGGTGTTTAAAAAGTAATTTTAGGGGGGTACTTCCAATACATTGTTTCCATTTGAGACTCCACTGAGAAAATATTCAAATCTCAAAATGGCCGAAAAATTAGCTTTCATTTTTTTTATTAAATTTTTAGTTCATATTTGCTTAGCTTTTTCTATTGATAAAAAAAGAATTTTTGCAAAAATTGACGATCGTTTTTCGTAACATACTAATTATGTGTACCTAATCGTCAGGGAAAAATTTTTTTTTTTTGCTTGTAAACCATTAAGTATACGAAAAAATGGGAAAAGTAAAAAAGTTTCTAAATAAAATGTAGTATTAAAAGCTGGCTAAGCTTGGCCAACATAGAAAAAAGTTGTGAAAGAAATAAAACCAAGGGGTGCTAATTTCTTTCATTCAAAAACGTAAACCAGAAAAAAATACCATTCGATTAGTTGCTAACGTCTACCAAAATTAAAATTTTTAACCGTTTTCATGAAAAAAAATGAAAGCTAATATTTTCGGCCATTTTGGGATTTCAATAATTTCGCAGAGGGGGCTCAAATAAAAAATTTCTAAACACCTTAAAATTTTTGCACATCATTATGAAACACCCTGTATAAAAAACAATCTTCGACATATAAACAAACAAACCGTGAAATTTAGAAATTATCGGTAAAAGAAGTTTAAACAACCACATTCATACATTCAAACAATTAATATATATTTTATTTATAATAATCATTGAAAAAAAAATTGGCTGCATAGAACTAAATATTCTTTCAAGTCATCGTGACAAATTGAGGACAAACAAAACTTTCTAACATTATACATTCCACGAAAGTTATTAATCTGCAGTATAGAGGGACACCTGAATAAAATTAAAAGTAGTGTAGGTTACTATAACAATTCAAATTTTTTAAAGTATCCTTGTCCAGACTTGTGCAAAAATTTAAAATTATTGTCGAAGGATTGTGTGATTTTAAGGTTGAAAAAAAAAAACAACTTTCAGAGTTATTCTTATTTCAATGTTTCCCAGCAATCCTAGACGTGGTGGTAGCTGAAGCGGCCAAGGCTTGCCTACTGAGGCGAACCAGGGCTGTGCGGCAAAACCGTAGTGGGTTCGAATCCTGCATGCGGCAGGAAATTTCGAGAGAATTTTCTTGTTGTACCCATGGATGTTTGTAATTGTTAAGGTAGAGGGTAGTGTAAGTTAGCAGGCAAAAAGGGCCTAGCATGGCCTAATTGCTGGTAAGCTTCATAACCTTTACCTTTTACCCAGCAATCCTAGTTTAATTTTTCTGCCACTTTGACCAGCGTAACAAAAATTACAATCATTAGAAGATAAAAGATAAACTCCGGACTAATTAATACCAACAAATCGATTTTTAATGAGTGCAAAAACGTTTTTTTAAATTAGGAGTTTTAAATGGAATCTTGACTTAATATCTTCTTTATAATGTTACTTGTATGAGATAGTACCAAAAAAACTGAAGTGGAATACAACTAACGAAATTTATATTAGAAATTATAAGTAGCTTGATTAGGTAAGTAATTTACAAATAATTTTTTATAGACTATTAACGTTGAGTGAGAAATACTATTTCTCACGCAACGTTATTAATTATTCCATAATTGTAACAATTTTCCAAAGCTTTTGTCTAAGTATATTCTTTTGAGAAAAAGAATGGCAAATTTATTAAGATATTCTAAATATTTCAAATTTATGAGTAAATATTTAAATGTTAAATCTAAAAGGTTTGAGTTATTAATTTCTGTCTCAAAAGTTAAATTAATATGATCATGCAAATTACTTAAATTATTGTTTAGCTCTTTCAGTTCAACCGAATTACCATTTGAACTAATTAATATACGCACATATCCGTACAAATACAAAATTTTATTATTGTGATTATTAACACTCCGGAATAGTGCTCAATTTCAAATAATTCATAAGTAGGATTATTCAAAAACAAAGATGTTAATTACAAGATCATCAGTTTGTTTATAAATTGAATTAAAAATAAAATTTTGAGAACGCAAATTTTAAGTAAGCCAAAAATAGATTTTACAAAATCATCTGATGAATTAGAAACTATTAACATATTGACTAAATGCAATGTGATTGGTACAGAAAAGTTGTGTACAAATTATGTATATCAAACAGGCTAAATAAAGATTCAGGAACAAATATATTTTCTGCATTATTTTATATATTTAAGTGTCGTATTCCACCCTTTCGAGAGAGCTTCAGGATTTCAGAACACCCCGTATATTCATAGAAGTCATAATCTTGTACCTACGGATATGCCGGAGACCGCTGAATT